GTCTAGAGCCATGAAGTACTGTACCTTTCATTCCAGGTCAACTTTTTGTGTTGATTTCAGTTATGCAGTCTGTTAGGTGAGACTTTTTATTCCTTGTTTCACACACTTATTTTTTAAAGATCATTGGAGGAGGGCAGAATAAAAATAAAATTTTGTTTTCTTATTTAGCAAATATTTTGCCAAAAACATCCACACGGAGGAGAAAATAAAAATAAAATTTTATTGGTGATTGTAAAATAGGATGGTTAAATGCTTCAAATTTATATAATTAGGGAGAAATATACATATCTTATCTTTGAAGATTTCAAGGCAGCGGAGGGCGTAATGAAAATAAAGAAAAACTTTTCCATTTTTTTGTGGCGGTGGGTGCGCTAATTGGCCAAAAATAACATTTTATTTTTATTCGAAATCATCAATATTTGCAGTCGGCGGATTCGCCAAACAAGGTACAGTATATAAAATGTCTCGCCTTAATGGGATAAGTTGTTTAATTAGGAAGATATTTTACCCCAAAAATTGCCCAAGTGCAAGAGTTGTGCAATGAAATTGTATTACTGTTGATTACAAATAAGCATATTGTTATATCTTCCATTCTAGGACAACTTTTTGTGTTTCAGTTATGCAGTCTGTTAAAGGGATGCATTGTTTAATTAGTAAGATATTTTGCCCCAAAATGGCCTAAGTACAAGAATTGCACAATAACATTGTGTGACCATATTGATATATTTCAAATGAGTATAACATTAACAGTGTACTGTTCAGAACCATGAAACCTTATATTCTAGTACACATTTGTATGCTTATTTAATTCATGCAGTCTGTAAGGGGCACAGTCTTTAGATAGTAAGATATTTTGCACCAAAAAATGGCTCAAGTGCAAGAATTGCATAGTATCACACTGTATATTTCAAATATGAGCACAATATTATCAGTGTACTACTGCCTAGGGTTATGAAACTTTTAATTCTAGGAAAACCTTTTGTGCTTATTTCAGTCACTCAGTCTGGTAAGGGACACAGTGTTTACAATGTAAAAGTTATGCTCATTTGAAATCAATGTCAAGCACAATGCATGCACTTGGGCCATTTTTGGGGCAAAATATCTTACTAATTAAACAATGCATGGGTCATTCCATATGAACTCAACCAAAGTTGAAAAATGTTTACAGGTGACTGACTCCGATTTGGCTCAAATTTATTTTGGAGATGAGATACCTTTACATGAATAATGAACACATGCAAAATTCTAGACTTATACTCAAAGTGGTTTCGGAGATATGGCCCCACAAAAATTGGGTGCCACGCCCCCTTTTCGGCCTCGCGAATCACAAACTTCAATTTATAGGGTTTTTGGAGGTCAATATCTTGGTAATGAGACAGAGGTAGGGGCTGAAATTTGGTACTCAGGGTATTTCTGGCTCAGGCTTTCAGAATCTGCTGTCTTTTTTCATTTTCAAGTTATTGCCCTCTTAAATGTCTATCTTTTTATAGGCGGAAATCAAAAAATCAGTTTTCAAGTCCTCCCTGTGAGGATAAGAGCACTTACAGATAGTTAATTGTGCTAGAATCCTGCTATCTGAGGACAGGACTGTGTGTAAAAGAGAGATTGACTATATCCAAGCCATATAGGAGTTAGAGATCTCTGAAAAGGGTTCCGGCTGAAAAAAATGACATTTTTGCTGATTTTCGGGTGGCAGGTTCATTATGTGGGCAATTACCCATGGTAATGGAACTTTTTCTACTTAATTGTACATATCTTGCCGCTATTTGGTTAAAATTTCAACTTGTTTTCTTATCTCCTTCATTGCTAAATAATTTGGTCAAATGCAGGTGATTTTTGCTGAAAACACCTCTATATTCCCCTTTCATTTACTTTCAAAGGTTGTCGGTACAATTCAAAATATAAAACCTGACACACAAACTTTAGCAGACTGCATAACTGAAATCAGCACAAAAAGATGTCCTAGAACGAAAGGTTTCATGGCTCTAGACAGTACACAAATAATATTATGCTCATTTGAAATCAATAGTAACACAAAAATATTATATTATATTTGAATATATGGCTAATTGAAAATGCAACTTTACTAATATGGCATAACTGAGAGCTAAAATGGGATGACTCCAAAATTTCAAATGGCCGTAACGACTGGAATTGGCAAGTCAAATTTTTAATTTGTTCATTAGATATGTTGGTGCATATTATATCCGAGTTTCAAGAAAATCTGAGAGGGTAGTACCCAGCCATTCCATTTGTTGAGTTGGCATGGAATGACCCAATTAAATCTACAAAAGCTTTAGTTAAAAACAGAATCTGTAAACATCTTGGCTGAGAGAGGTTAAGAAATCTGTCTTAATCGATTCCTTTACATCATTGTGATGATCCAGACTTCCGAATTTATGTTTGACTTAAGCATAAAAATGGACTTAGACACATTTAAGCTGATTTCTAGTTTGACAAATCTGGCCCTAGGCCCTTCTTATAGCAGACCTATGTAACACACTCTTAAAGCTCCAAATATAAGAAAGTAAAAATAATCCTTAATACCATGCTTTCGCTATCATATGAATCATCAAATCATAAATATCAGAGTATCCTTCCAGTTAGTGGACTAAACCTTAAAGATGAATTTAAAATATTACACAGTATACATTTATTTCCGGCTTATAATAATAATAATAATAATAATATTTATTCGGCAAAGTAAAAAGTATACATACAATATTCTTGCCAGGAGTAAGTAATAGGCATAAGCCCAAACAGAAAACTGCTCTTACTCCATCATCAAAAACAAATACAATGACAATACAATATAAATATATACAAAAAGTAAATTCAAAATAAATTGATTTAACTATAACAAAATGAAAAACAGAGATAATTAATTATTTATTATTATTAATATTTTCTTATAGAAATGGGTCCAAACTCAAGCTCTACTTACCTAGTTGATTAAAAGCTGCTTTATTGTAATACATCTTACGGAGCAATTGTAGAAATCCTATAAAAGAGAAAGTAATTGTTAGGATAGTATAGGAGTACTTTTGGAGTGAATCATGCCAAGGATAACCCAAAGTCTAAAGACTTTTTTCCAGTGGGGTCCACCTTTTGCTGGTGAACTGAGCAGTACACTGGGAGACAATCCCCTACTCTTTCGGGAAGATTGTACTGAGTTCTTTGACCAAATGCTTTCACATCTCATCCAAAAAGACAGTGTGCCATCATAACTTGCAATCAGCAGTTTAGCCAACTGATCTAAGTCGCTCTCTTAGTAAACAAATACCCCAAAAAACTGATTAAAAAAAATTATTATTTTAATACCAAGGAGGTTAAAATAATTTTAACCTCCTTGTTAATACTAAGTCAATTGTCACTGTGATGTTATCATTTTATCAAATATTCAGATATAATTTTACCCCAGAGCGAGCAATACTTTCTAATACCACCTGCTACATTATTGACTTGCGACACGCTATTTACAATGGATATGCATATACTGTATGGCCTGTTGTTATTTAGGATAAAAAAAGTTTTTCATTGCTGCCAATTGTACTGTCATACAATAAACCATGGAGGTATAAAATTCTATTTTTATACCTCCATGAATAAACTAACAATTTTTTTAAAGTAATTAACCTTGAGCAGGGTTAGAAATTTACTTTTTCAGCCACTAGCAACCTATTGCTAAAATGTGCTAGTTGTTAAAAATGTAACTAGCAAAATGAGCTGCTCAACTAGTAAAATATATTGATACCAACTCAACATATTATTTTCGGAAAATAAATTGTATGAAAATAACTAATGATGTACAGTACTTCTATAAATTGGTGTGTATGTTTTAATATAATATTTTCTGTTATGGTGAGTGTAGTACAATAAATATCACAAAGAAATAGCCAAATGAGTATAAGAAATTGATTTCAATACCCTGTACATTTATTCACTTCAGTGTCAGAACATTTTTAATATTTAAAAAAAAAAAAATCACAGATACAAAATAAAAATTTAATATTACATACTTAATTTATTTTTTAAAATAAGTTAAGTGTATCATTCATTTAATTTTTATTTTGTATTTTGTGATTTTGTTTTCATATTAAAGTTGATAAAAATTATTAAATCTAATATAAATATATATTAAAATACTAAATTATAATCGTTAGTAATTGTCAAGTATTATTTTAACATGGTCGAAAATGCTACATAATTATACTGTAAGGGACACATTTGTTAGGCCGCGGGAATAAAAGTTGTAGGTTTGCGTCCACCGCCCGCATGCCTAAAAAGCTACCGCACAAAAATTTTCATTATTTTGAAAAGTTCATTATTTTGAAAAAAAAATGTACTTCGTTTTAAAAAACGGACTTTCTAAGCCGTAAACAGACAGAAAAACGATCTATTCATCACTGATCCCTTGTCGCGAACACCGAGCGAAGGCAGGCCTGGCCACATCGCACCATGATCGCCGATCACTGCTGAGGTCATTTACGGGTCAAATCGATCTTTCTGACCAATAGGAAATCTTGTATGTTAAGTGGTCTTAAATGTAGAAAAGGATCTGTTTTATAGGCTAGTGTACATTTATGACTGTAAGCATTGTTTCTTGGGAATAAATGTAAAATTACCAATGCCGCGGCTTGTGGACAGCATTAATAAAAAAAATAATGAATAATGAAAAATGGAAAAATGCCTCATGTGTTTTCAAAATTTTTCGGACGCAAACCTACAACTTTCATTCTCGTGGCCTTATATAATAAAAACAATAGGAATTAACTCTAGCAAAAAACATTTAAAATAGCAATATCTCCGCTAATATATGTCCGATTTACATAATTTTTCTTTTAAAATGCTTCATTCAGTTATGTCTTTCTATTAAAAATAAATAAAAAAAATATTTGGGACATTTCAATTTTTTTTGTTTCTAGTTTAACTGATTGGATAACATTGGGAGTTGCAGTGATGATGTCACGATTGACTTATTATGTAATTTATAATATTCTCCGATCCGACTTGACCCCGCGTATTAGAACTTTAAGTACGCGCAAGACAACTGCAGGACAAATTCCCGCGGTACGAGAGCACACTGCTATTCTTTACAACGTGTTTGACACGATAGGGTTACTGTACTGGTTTCTACTTTCTTGTATTTTAGTTTTATTTCCGTCATGCCTTTATAATGCGAAGCTGTTGCATGTACGAATAACTCAAGAATGAAAAATAAACCAAGATTTTTTAGGTTTCCCAACAACAATGCCGTATTGAGACAGAAATGGATTGCTGCATGCAGGCGAAAAAATGCTGATGGCTCGAGGTGGAACCCGACAGGCAGGAACATTTATTTGTGCGCCAAACATTTTATTACCGGTGAGTCAACCGATTTGTTTCTATATGTTTCATCATAGGTCTATAGGCTAGGCTAGCCTAGCCTACTAACCTAGCATGTAGGCTAGGCTAGAATAGAAATAACATTTGCTCCAATCCATTTATTAATTATTACGGTAGTAGTCTAATGTACTCTACTACTACTAGGGCCTAGCTAGGCCTAGCCGATCAATCGAAGAAAACCATGCGTCAAGGAAGGTTGTGGAAAATATGATCTCATCATGGTCAAGCAAGAGTCTACACATTCACAAATTGTTGGCCTGAGGATGACGTGGGGATGGCCGATTTGATGAGTTGACCACCTGCCTACAGTAGGCCTACGTTACGTGCGTAATGAAAAGTTATTGATTAATGACAATGTGCATTTTGTTAAAACTTTGATCCTGAAAATGTTCTTCAAATTCAAAGTGAATGGAGACTAGGCCTAGGGCCTTGAAATCGCCACAGCTATACTAACTAGGCCCTGTGTATTGTTACATTACTTTGCTAAACACTGTTTTTATTTTACAGGAAATTCAAACAGAAGAGATTATATTAACGTTCATTCACTCACACATTTGTTCATTGTTTTAATTTTAAAGTTTACTTGGCTTTTTCAACCTACATTTATTACACTTATAATTTTGTTTCAGGTAAAGCAATGAAACGACTAGTTGACCAAGATCACCCAGATAGTGTCCCAAGTATTTTTAAGTTCAACCCAACAAATGAAGAGATTAATAGGCAGAAAATAGCAAGATACAATTCTGCTAAAGAAAGAGAACAGGCGAAGGTTAAACAAACTAAGGAAAAAAAATTGGCGGTTAAAGAGAATAGGAAGAAAAAACAGCAACAAAAACTTGGGTTGGATATGAATGTGCCTTGTGAAGCAGTGCCATCTACCAGCAACATAGCTACAAGAGGCGTCAGGTGCCAGTCAACAACCACTACCACTGAAGTGCAGACTCAAACTTGCTCATTAGTCTTAGAGTTTGATTATGTAAATGAAATTAATAGTCTTCGGAAAGAAAGAAATGATGCCACTGAAAAACTTAAAATAACCAAGATTTTATGTTATGAAAAATTCAAGGATAACAAATCAAAATTTAAATATTATACAGGCATTGAAAAAGAAGTATTTGATAAAGTATTTAATAATCTAGAACAATCACTCCCAACTAATCAAAAATTTGCTATGCCTTTCAAAGACCAATTTTTTATGACCCTTACCAAACTTAGACTTAATGTGCAATTTGAAAATTTGGCAGATCAGTTTGGATCAACTAAGTCCACAGTGCATGCAATATTTTGGAAGTGGATTGATTTACTTTTTATAAAATTATCCTTTTTGATACATTGGCCAGACCATGATGCTAGTATAAAAACCCAGTATTTCCCTAGATTAACTGGAATTATCGATTGTTCTGAAATTTTTATTGAAAGACCTACACATTTGAAAGCCCGTTCCCAAGTTTACTCCAATTACAAAAAACATTCCACAATTAAATTTCTTATTGCATGTACATGTACTCCCCATGGTTCAATTTCATTTTTGTCAAATGTATGGGGCGGTAGAGTATCAGATGGGGAAATTGTAAGAAAATCCGGTTTTCTTGATAGTAAATTCCATCATTATGGTGATCAAATATTAGCTGATAGGGGTTTTACTTTAGCTGATGAATTTGCTACTAAATGTGGTGTAGAACGTTTGATTCCAAGTTTCACTAAGGGCAGAAAACAACTGCCAGCTAGGGAAGTTGAAGTCACACGCCAAATTGCATCAATAAGAATCCACATTCAACGGGTAATTGGTTTAATGAAAAATCGTTTACAATTCTTAATGGCCCCTTACCAATTACAATGATAAAGTCATTGTCAGATGAAGCAAATAATACTGAAATGTCCAGCATTGATAAAATAATAACTGTGTGTGCTGCTCTTGTTAATCTTGGTGACAGCATTGTGTACAAAGAAAAATGAATACCCAGATGAATTAACCAATTGTCCATTGATACCCCACAGCAAATTATACTGAAATTTGTAAACTTCGCTAGCTTAATCTGCATTTTCTTTCGTTTGCATGCAGTGATCAATTATGTCTCAATAAAATGTTGTTTGGAACCTTAAAACTGCATTCTTCCCAATTTACAAAAAAATGAACATATTGTAATTTTTACCATGCAAGAATTATTCGCATACGGCTAATCTTACTAAATTTAATAATTTCTGAGAAATTTTTTTTTTTTTTAATTGGGCAGAATGCAGCTTTAAACTCTTTATTATTCATTATTGTTATTTGTACATCCAACAGATTAAAAAAATAATAGCATGACATTTTATTTTTTATTTATGATTTAATTAAACATTACTTTACCTTTTTTTATTATCAGTTATTGTTGTTTACTGTACATTTAAACAATGCATATACCTTTGTTGCAAAATACGGTTTAGCTTTGATACAGTAAAACTGTAGGGCCTCTGGACAATTTGCAGATATGTTCATTATACTGTGGAATCTTGAACTATGAAAATTAATTTGAGATGCATTAGAATATGGTACTTACATTAACATTCATGTTGCTTGTACTGTTTCTTGAGTTTGCACTCCGGGCAGTACCATTTCCCTTTTGTGACTCTTTTTAAGGTTCATGCATTTCATATGCAACCATTCGTATCTGCAATTGGCCGAGTCGCATCCGATCCATGTTGCATCGCTGCTTTGTTGTTTTCTACAAATGCAGTATACTTTTTCTGTTTCCACTGTATGTATATTATGATCATGTATGTGTATAATGATCATTCTCGATTTTTCTATATAACAGTTCTGGTATAATGTGTTTTTGATGAAATTTATGCAAAATATCTAATATGCTTGTTATATAGAAATAATCTTTTTTTACATTGATGTTTGACATCCAGTTTGGAGTCCAAATAATTAACTGGCATTCATCCAAATCGAAGACATACAGCTGCATTGTATTTGAGCATAGTACCTATGATTTTGTTTCAAAGTATTGTCACTGTGTATGCAAAAGTTTTTATCTCCTGTAATTGCTTCATCTACAGTTGCTGTTGCACGAACAGAATATGGGCATTTAATTTCCAACAAATGAATTTCGTTGTGGCAATCACAAGTAAAGAGGCCATCTGGCGTAGCACCAATGTAAGGGAAGTCCTTGCAGAGTTTAAGGCCACATTTTGCTATTTTGAAATTACTATGTTTTGTGTTAAGTAATGTTTTGTATGTCATTATTGCATTGCATTCATTTTCAATTCCCCATTTTAGGGATGGAATGTTAGAATGTGACGATGGATATGACTCTTGACAAATCTTTGAAATTAATGATGTGGATGGATTGTTCATATTTGTGTGCATGATGTCATATGCCACAGAAGCTGTTATTCTTCCGGTTCTAATTAAATGCCAAGTTGGCGACAGTGATTGGTTAATTGTTGAGTTATATATATAATCAATGTCTTCTTGTGATAAAATTGGTATGAGTGGTGATGAAGATGATGATGATGGAGCATTGTATACATATAGTTCTCTCAAACTTTTTGGAATTTTAGCCTTTGGTGGTGGAGTGAATGTAGGAATAAAACTATTGCAGTGTGCAGAAAAAGTATGCAAAACAACAGGTTTGTTGTTTAAAGAATTCAAGTCAAGCAAAAGTTTTTCTCTTTCCTCGCATGTTTGTTTTTTATAACATCCTGGAAACAATTTTCTGCCATTATCATTGTCTCTCTTCCTTTTTATTGCTCCCTCGGAGAAAAAGGAAATATTTGCTATAGGTAGTGGTTTGATTTTCTCAACAAAATCTACATTCCATTTGCATCTTTCGTCGGTACATGATACATTGGTATACCCCAGCCTTACTGCTGCCTCTATTTTAAATAGGATTGCACCAATATCGCTGTACGACTCCCCTAATCTGGATTATAAAAAAAATAGATGAAATGCAGTTTTAAATCTTCATATTTTAATATACTGTACCCACTGAAGACCCATATCTAATTTATTGTTTGCGTTATATTAGGGATTTTAAATTACAGTACTTTTTTGTTAAGGTTGATTTATTATTTTTATTTTTTAATTATGCTGGACTACAGTAAACAATTTTACTGATTTTTAAATTTTATTTTCCACTGGATAATTTTTTTTTATTTAACAGTAATTTTTTTATTGGTAGGGCAGGAATGTGGAATTAGCAATTAATGTAATTTTATTTTGGTCTTGGGTCATATTGTCATAAGGTCAAAAACCAAAATTCAAAGCATCAGCATTATCAAACCATATAGAAAAAAAAGATGTTTGAATAATTAAATGCTGTATAGGCTAAATAAAGAGTCAATTCTAACTAACCCTGCCATACAAGTGCAATGAGCAGCAATGATAGTATCATTTGCCTTGTTAATGGCAATATTTAGATTTAGCCGTTGTGATGGTTTAACCAGGGTTTAACCTCTGCTCTCATGAACACCACTGGTAGTAAAGTACATGATGGGGGTTCATACGTTAAAACTGTTCTCACCCAACCACTTGTGAATTGGTTATGGGCTTCAAGGCTTTACCTACTTTTCATGGCTTCCCGAGTGAAGACACCTGGAGAATTGATGAGATAGTTATAAATCTCTGGCCATTCCAACTCAGGCCACTGTGTTGGGTCATTAACCCATGCGTCGTCAGGTATCCTGTAGGGGCTGTCCTCTAGGCCTAGCCCACATATCCTCATTTTCATTCTATATCGCTCTCTAGCTTCACAATCAAGATTACTGGTGTTATATGAATATGCCATTGAACAACATTTCTTTTTAAAAAAATCAATGGGATAATGAATGTAATAAAGTATCCTAGCAAAATGAAGGATGATATCGCGCAAGTGAAAATCGTCGTCTGTTCGCGATCGCGGGTTTGTTTATTATTTTGTCCTGCAATTGTTATTCCGGAAGTTGGATTTGACCTCTGACATCATCGTCGGATCGGAGAATCCGAAGTCACGTAATGAGGCGGCTAGGCCCTACTTTTAGTGCGATTAGGAGGGCCTAGCCTACCTTACCTATCCTAGCCCGCATCACGGTAGCACCTCTCCTCTAGCTAGGCTAGGCTATGTAGGCCTAGGCCTAGTCGCCGCCTAGGCCTAGGTAGGTAGAGTAGCTAGTAGCCTAGGCCTACCCTACTGCTGGCGTCATACATGCATAGCCTAGGCTGAATTGATATGGTACAGCCTAAGCCTGCGTTTACATGACGTATATCAGCATCGTTAAAATGCATTTTTAACCATAACTTTAGCATTTATCTCAAAAAAAAAAAAATCAAAATAACTTACCTCCCTGCTTCGCAGCCATTTTGTCGGTGCTGTTACCGGCATTAGCCTTCCAGTTTAGTACATATTTAAATACAGTATTACATTTTAATTATTTACTTTATTTAACAAAAATGATAATGATAATATACTAATTAAATAAATTTATAAATTTGTATACTAAATTTATAGTTTTAATGATTTATACATACGTTTAAATGGATCAATATTTTTGTCATGTGATATTTTTTACAAACTTAGGTAGGCCAAAACATAGGTCAATCAGAACAACAGCTGATGACGAACCCAAACAAAACGCTTCAGCATCAAGAAACTCTGTTTTTCGAGGGAGGTGAACATAAACTACAAGAATAATGACAACAACACCCACTTTGACAACTAGGTAATCATTATTTAACAGTTAGGCCTATTTGTGTGTGTTTGTGGGAAAATAGGATGCGATATTTGCCTATATATAATAATAGACTATAATAAGTGCATCAATCATCTTCCCAACTAAACAAAACAGACCAGGAAGACGCGCGTGTCCTACAAAACGCACGTGTTTTAGTATGTTTTCACACTGTTTTGTGGGGCGGGGTCCCTGGCGGGGTTTAGTGAAAAGTTCATTCATTGGTCTGTTTTGAGTGTTCAAAGTAAAGTAAGAGGCAGTGGTAGGAGCTTTATCGCCCTTTGCGATTTCGACTACGCCTAGCCTAGGCCTAGGCTTAGGCTAGGCCTAGTATTAAGCCTTTGTAAGCCTAGACCTAGGTTGAAAATCTCAATTCAACTGGCAAAAACTGAGTGACCTCAACTAGCTTAGGATCATAGGTTCCAACTGTCCAGCCTTTTGGCTGGATTGTTACGCTTTTGGGAGTCGTGTCCCGCCCAACCCACAAACTGTCCCGCTTTTCAACTTTTATTATAAACAAAAAATAATGCTGCATTTCTGCCTTCATTTTTACTCTGATTATTTATTTTTTCAATTATCAAACCTCTAAAAAGGCCACGAAATCCCCAGCCCTAAAAGTGGTTGTTAATTTGGGTTAGAGACTTATATAAACATGTCCCAAAGTATGTTGTCCCACTTTTGAACAAAAAGTCCTGCTTTCTGGATCGATGTGTACCACTTTTGGACATTCAGGGGTTGGAATGTCAGAGGCCTAGTTTCCGGTAGCGCTCATGTTGGAAAATCCATAGGCCTAGGTCTAGTCCAGTGGGGATCAGAAAGGACGCATTCCCTCCCCGAGGGGGCAGGAAAGGCGTTCCCCGTTGGACAGGCCTGTATTCCTCGTAGCCTGATGCCACAACAAGGCCATCGTACCAAAAATGATGGTTGCTTATCAACTGTCACATTGCCTTCTCTCTCGGTTGGCATGTACTCTATTTTTCCAAATCGGAGTGCTAACATAAGTTTGGTTCAGATGGCTGAAATAAAGTTACGACAGACGTAAAATGACCATTCAGGCGCTTGTCACAGTTGCTTTGAATTGTATGAAAATAGAACCTGCCAACCAAGAGCAATTGGAAGCAACTAATGTCAATGAGCAAATCGAAAAGCTCATGTTGCTGTGAATCACGCGACTCCCAGTTTGCCTGCTAGTTGATCACAGTTGCTGGCAAGTTGCCAAAGGTCAGATGATGTCAGTTGAGTTGAGTTGCAAGCGTGACATAAGCTTAGATTTAGATAAAAATTCTTTGTATTACTTACGCGAAAGGAGGTAAAGTTTTCACCACTCTCTGTCTGTCTGGCTTCTGTCGTTTTGTCTGTGTGTTAGCAAGAATGGATCATAATAAAATTTAGTGGAATAGTACATAACAATCGAAGAAAGACACCATTAAGTTTTTGGGAGAGTGGGTCAAAGGTCAAGGTCACAGAAAGTTGATCTATTTACCCTCAACCATAAAGGAAAAAATTAAATCGCTCCAGGTATTCAGGCACAGCCCGGAAGTATGCTGGAGCTCTAAAAAAAATAGTGTCTTTAAACACCATGGGCGATTCCATTATTTTCTTGAGGGTAATGGTGCAGTACTTAAGCATATAATGTGCCTTAAGGGTAAGCACTCACGAAAATAATGTGCCTGAATACACCTACGATCATTCACGGATTGGATGCGTACTCTTTGGCATTCCGCAGCAGGGCAAAAAATAATGAATTGCCCATCATACACGGCCTGCTTATTGTTTGTATTCAGGAACAGTGTTTTAGTAGTTTTTGTGTCTACTGCCCCCAACGGGGGCATAGACACTATGTCATAATGTAGCAATTAAGAATGGCGGAAAAAGGTAAATTCAGTTTAGACATGATGGTTACTACTACCACGAGGTAGGGGCGCTCTATTGACAATCGAATAGCGTTCGGAACTCGAACAAAATTGCGTTCGACACTCGAACACGGGTTATAGAGACGCAGCACGCGTTCGCCACAAACATGGTAGTACTCTTCGTGATCAATGACATAACGTGGTAACTCCAGAAGTTACTCATTTTTAAGGTGTTTTTAGTGTAATATAGTAGTAGGGCTATACAGAATATTGTTATGAAAGAAAATTTTCATGAAAAATTCAGATACACTACAATAATACACACATCTACATATTGAAGAACATAAGATAAAATTAAAAAAACAAAAACTCCTGTATAAGGCAGTAGACACACGCTACCGCAGGGAGCCTATTTTTAATACTGTACTACTGCTAAGCTGTGCCATGTGTAAGTAAGCTGGTTCACATGCACTGCGACTGTTGTACAGCTGAGAAACCAGCCTTCTTTTTGAGCCTTTGATGATGCAATGCAACCTACTGACTGTCAATGGCAGATTGAGTGAAAACATTAAAAAAGGTTATCTGCTGCGTAATTGAGCTGCCTTCTCTTTGGGATCACGTTGGGTGACGCCTGCAGTGTATAAGCTGTTCATATTTCTTTGTTATAGTCTCTAGCCCTCATTATGTACGTAGACGATGAGTAATCTTTGAAAGTTTGATGTCATTTTGAAGCATTTTCTTGTGCAGTTTGCAAAGAAAATTGTGTAGTTCGAAAGGTTTGTGCATGTTGATCAATTTCTATGTTTACAGTTGACAGTGTTGCACAGCCCCACTTTCCTACTGTCTATGTGTCGCAACCCAAAAATGGGTCACCAAATTTTGCATTGGATCATGAATAGGTTTGCAAAAAACATAACATGGTAATTTACACTTTTGATGTAAAATCATTAACAGATCTGACGTCTTTAGGTGAACCCTCATTAGACAGTATTTTTACATGTTGTCATATGACCTACTATATAATAAGAAGAGCATTTTCCCCAATAAATTTCAAAAGGGCAAACAATTTTAACATGTTCTGTCTTTTGACATTACGCTTTCCACAATTTTTTGTTTAGTTTCCATTTCTTTCTGTTCAAGGCAAATAATAATACAGCTCAAAATTTACTCCCTGCATGCATTTTGTTTGGTTGATATAATGGTAACCATAGGGCTAAAATGAAGGTTTAAGATTATCATTATTTAAAAATTGACAATATTTTCTGCAAAAACGCTGATCCAATATTTTCAAGATTTTGGATTAGTCAGGCTTGGGCCGCGCAAAGTAATTTTCTCTTCCTAAAGTCTCTTGTATTTCATTCTTAGTCTCAAATATTAAAAGTCTCATTTTCCCACTGTGGTGAAAAGGGATGATAATCAATGGCTGATTCAAGGGGAGTGGCAGCTGGTAGGGCCCCCAAAATCCTGGGTATTCAAAATTTTTAGGCTGGTGGCCAGTTCCAACCGGTTGAGGTCAGCGACGGGCCGAAATAAATTTTGTACTTCATATTTGTTTCAATGTTAACCTCATCCATTCTCTTTTATAGGCCTACAAGTTCTCCTAATAGACCTTATTAAACTTGTTTTTTAAACGTCAACTATTATAGGCCTAATTGTTTGTAAAAATGAGGGATGCAGTTTTTGGTGAAGGGTGGAGATTAAAAAATAACTTGGACCCCATGGTTCTTCTACCCTACCATTAGAAATTTTCGGAGCACAAAAAATTCCACTCATGTATAGTAAAACAACAATGCCAGGGCCAGAAACTACCCGACAAGCAGTCTGATGCTGCCCAAAAGGGCCCATATTAACCTATGTCCACCATGTTCGGGGCTGAGGTGAGCACGTTTTAAAAATAGACACCTCTAGATTCCAGGAAATGGCGCTATCAGACTGTAAAAATGCGAGTTTGCCTCCTGGATCTGCCAATGGTTAGACATCCAGCGCCCCCACCCCCATACAATACAAAATTAAAATGTTAAAATTGAAAAAAAAATGAAAATCCATTGAAACAATGAGTATACAGATTGCTGGTGAGTGGGGAGGTGGGCATACCAAAAGGAACGGAGTTCCTTTACAATAAATGTTTGGAATCCACAAGCACTCATCAGCAAAACGTATAGTCGAACAAAATAAAAAAGTTAAATGAACGATTCTGTAACATATTTCTTAAATAATTTAAAATTTCCATTATGCACAGGTAAAGGAAGGTCGGACCATTACGCACAGGTAAAGACTTAGTGTGGGAAAGCACAACTTGGTTCCCAGAGAAAAAAGTTTGGGAAGCGGGGTTTTATAGTACAACTACCTGGGCCTGACTTACAATTACATGGGGAGCTATGAGTGACTTTAGGTAGTCTCTAGGCCTAGGTCCATTTTGTACCATTGTGTGTTTATTTTCGTGCATAAATTTGGTTGATTTTTTTTATAATTATTTTTTTTTTCATTAGTTTTTTTTATCTTTAATGGCTATCCTCTAAAAACCTGTCTATTCAAATGCAGCAGACCTGCTATAATTCAACTAGGCATAGGCCTACTTCTTGCTTCGGGCTAAACTGTGCTCTAAAAATTGAGAACTTAACATTTTCGCCTATGCAAATGTTATTTTGTGATGTCATTAGGTTGTGCATCCTAATATTGTTGCGCAATCGAAAGCTTCCAATTATGATATTTAACCATAACATATAAACTAAGGATAGTATTAATACAATTAATTTGTCAGTTGACATATTGATGAAATCATTGGCCAACCTTGAATTGAATTATGAATAGAATTAAATTAATTGGGATGCTACGCATTAAATTTACAGCTGTTGATGTCAGGAAATGGGGTACATCCACAGAATGAAATTTGTTTGACAGCCATATACATTGATGAAAATATATGCACATGAATATCTGGATTATTACCCATTAGGGTTGTGTTTACGAACTTTCAACGAAACCGGTTAAGTAAAAAATGACATAATGCCCAGAGGGTAGGTCATTAGATCGCTCATCTACGAACCCCAAGTTATTCGGATACGGACCGTAAGGTATAGGCCTTTAATGTAAACATAACAAACATTTCACCGCTTAGCCTTCCTCAGCCCAACAAGG